TGTTTTTATTTTTGTTTGTGAAAAGCATTACTAATAGTTCATCCTTACAGTCAAGTTTTATTAGCAATCATGATTACTTCATTAGCTAACCATTCTAGGTAAGCACCTATTCTACTTTCAAGCAAGGTTGAGCAATCAAAACTATTTTATCAACTTTTATCTTCCAGTTCTTACTACGGTGCTAGATCATAGCTAAGTCGTACCGTCTCACGAAAATGGTAATTCATGAACCATTGTATCCTAGCTGAGTACCCCAAAACACACGCCTTGTTTGTATCCCAAGCACAAACAAGACCAACCTATTCCACTCCTGTCATGGGATCTAGGTTCCCATTCAAACTTGGACTTCAAGCCCCTACACTTGAGACCCCATCTCAATATGGTGCTTAGACCTCCACCTTTCCCGCCTCTCCAATCAGTCTGTCCAAAAGAGCCAGAACCCACGATAATAGCGTAACGAGCCTTCCCACTCCTATAAAAAAGTATGTGCTCAGGATAATAAGTCTGTGACCTAACTACCATCCAAAGCAACGGACGATCCTTAATCGACACTAATAAAGAAAATAGTGTAATCAAGTTAAGCCCTATTAGTCGCGGGACACAACCTGTTACACCCACCAATACCCATACCATATCCCTGCCTTGTCTCCATTTTTCCTTTCATTATTTTATTATGAGTAATAATAATCACCTATTGTAAATAACGGCAGGTTACTCACGCTACAAAAACCTAAGCATAGTATCTACTCAAACCTACATTAGTAAGACTCTTAGGATAGGTATATCTATGTATGTGGTTTTCATAAAATTACTGTAACATAAATGCACATAACATATATATACGGTGAATTATAAAATAGAGGTTATGCACCGGGGCTTGCCTTGGACAAGCATGGTGTCAGCTGAGTCAGCCAGTGGTGGCTCAGGAACCTTCTCCTGCACGAGAATCTTCTCCTCGTACTCCTCGATGATCTCCTCAAACTTGTGATCATCGGTGGTCATGATCTCCACCAACTCATTCTCTACATGCATGCGATGATGATGCAACACTAGCATTTAAGCAATAGCAACTCTTAAACTAAGAATACACATACTAAACTACTAAGCTAACTCTAATGACTAAGAAACTAAGCTAACTATCATCTTTACCAAGCAAAGTCTTGGGTTCAACTAACAAACACCTAGCTTTACAAATGAAGGATATATCTTTATTTCTACTAATGTTTTAATGTATATTTAAAACAAAGAGCATTTAACTACTCTAATGCTTAGTCCATTCTAAAGCTACAAAAATTATAGTGAGCACATAATAATAAAATGAAACTACCATAAAAATTTTAGGACAAAAGCTATCACCAATTTACCATAAAATTCTTATAATGTTTAACCTAATAATATTAAGCACTCTCAAATGATTTAATAGCTCTTGATATTAATATGTTTAAATGAACTAAATACACTAATAGATAGAGCACAATTTTAGAAATCTAACAAAATTTATTTCATAATTTTCGACATCTACATAATTTTATATGATTTATCAAAATTAACTTAAAAATTAAATTAGAAAACTATTTCTAATTCCTTAGGAAAAGAAAAATGAAATCTCCCGCGCGGCCCACACGACACAGCGCACGCGCGCAGCAGCCTATAGGCGTGGCCCACGCGAGGCCAACCCACACGAAGACGGCCCACGACGGGGAATCCCGCGCGTGTCGACGACTTTGCAAAAGAGACCTCGAACTCCTCCCAATTTATAATTAAGTACTAATACTATTTTCTCCTCTCTCAACTTCTCACTTAACCCCCTAGTCTTTTCCCTAATTCACCCACACACACTTAGCTGACGACCAGTAGCGGCACGGCACGGTGATCGATGATGACAAAGACGCCATTGCGTCGGCCACTAGAGACTGCGACAGACCACCTAACGAGCCGGTCACCATCTCCGACCCAAGTGGCTACGCTAAGAGGCGGTGTGGGGTGACACGACTAGCTAGGAAGGCTACAGCGGTGCGCGGCCATCCACAATGGCGGCGCCACTGTTTTCAATGAGCTAGGATAGCTACAGGCCTAATTGGTTAGCGCGTGAGAATCAGGAGCCCACCCTAGACTAGGCCAAGATGACGGTTGGGGCGGAGGATGACGAAGAAGGGCTAGCCATGTGTGGCCGAGCCGTGCGGTAGCACGGTCGCGTCAGCAATGATGGGGAGGCGGTAGCGGTTTCGCTGACATGCGTAAGGTGGAAAGGGAGGCAAAACAAAGCTAGTGGTGCAAGTGAATTGGTTCGGGAGGGATGGTAGGAGGGCTGTTGTCGTCCACGGCCGGACGTGGCCTGATCGACACGACGGCGGGGAAAACTCCAAATTAGAGCTTAGCCTTGCACAGTTTAAGGCTGGATGGGGTTGGGCAGCGAAAGCACCAATGGTGAAGACGTGGATGCGCTAGATTGAATGGAGGTGATCACTCGGTGGCCAATTGATGGCGTGGCTCGACGACGGCAACAGAGGGAGAAAGAGAGAAAGAGAGAGACGGGCGTGGCGGTGGGCTCGGCTTGGCCTCACCTTGGCGAGATGCGGTCGGCGTGGCCCTACGCGATCGTAGTGCCATCAATGACAAGGCGACGGTGAGCTCGGCCATGTCGTCGCGGCAAAGCAGAGGCGCGCATCGCACTAAACCGGGCAATGCCCTTGAGCGAGACGAGGCGAGCACAGCATAGATATTTGGCAAGTGACAAAGACCAACAATGGCGCGTCGCGGCGGGGGGAGAGGGTCGATAGATCGACACCGCACTGGCTACATAAGCGGCGGTGGTGGCTCTGCGCGCGCCAGAGCCAGATGGCGACTAGGCCATAGCCGAGCTAGAGAAGCGGTGTGGCCGGCCACGTCTGGCGACATGTGTGTGCGCACGGACAACCAATGTGATGGCGACGCCGCGCCCGGCGTGGCGTGGTGACCGTGCCAATCATGACCAACCAGCCCGAGATCGTGTCGTGCACAAATTTTAAAACGCCTATAAAAACTAAACGGTTGCTTTTGAAACTAAACCATTTTCACCATACTCAAGATGTCATATGAGACTACCAAATCGAGCTATAACGCTACACCACCTCTTAACCTAATCTCTCAAAATAATTTGCTAAACATAGTAATGTCTAGCTGTTGACAAACTTGAAATTTTTTAAGTTTTTGAGCTGAACTTGATTTCAATTCATAATTTCTAGGCTAGTAGAAATATTAGTTAGTAATATCATTTTTTAACAACAAGTATTTTACTGTCATCTATAAAGTTTAAATTCCAAACTTTATTTAAGCGCCATATATATGTTCTATAGCATTTTTGTTCAATAAAAATTAGTTTTAAACATTACTTAATATACATGAACTATTGGATCAACTTTCGTTTAACATTTTTGTTAGTCATTTTAAGTTACAAGAAATTGATCAATATATTTTATCATATGCACTAACACATAGACATGATACTCATGATATGTTTTAGTAAATGATTTAGGATATAACACCGAGGGTGTTACAAAACACCTCTCTCAACTGTTAAAACCGTTCATCTAACCTTCCTACTTCTGTTAAAGCAGTTTTGAAGGCGGTTTTGACTTTTTTGTTTTTTATTTATTTTGGCTGAATCTTTGAAAAAACATAGTAAATCATAGAAAAATCATAAAATGGAATTCAATTTTGTTGGACTCAACATGAGTAGATTTATATAGTGAATATATAATATGGTATGCTTTAGTACAAAGTTTTGTTGTGACTTTAGATTTATGTTTTTTATAATTAATTAGAATAATTTATAGCTGCAGTTTCTATGGTCCAATTGTGATGAAAATTTTTATGATGGGCTAAGTATTGTATGATTGAACTGTAGTAAAAATTTTATACTTATTGGATAATATGTAGTTAGTTATAGATTTATTTATATTTAACAAGCATAAACCTAAATAAAATCTATAACTAAATTATACATGATCCAATGAGAATAAAATTTTTACTATAAAACATACAATAATTAGCCCACCATAAAAATTTCACAATAATTGAATCATAAAAACTACAGCTATGAATTATTCTATTTAATTATAGAAAATCATAAATCTAAAGCTACAACAAAAACTTTATGCTAAAGCATACCATATTATATATTCACTGTGTAGATCTACTTATATGGAGTAAAAAAATAGATTTTCCATGTTATGATTTTTTTTATTTACTATGATTTTTTAAAGATTCAACCGAAATAAATAAAAAAGAAAAAGACAAAACCGCTTATAACCGAGCCAGGGAGGTAAGATGAAGGGTTTTAAAAGTTGATGGAGGTGTTTTGCCCGATTTTAGAGTTTAGGAAGAAAAAACGGACTTTCTCAAAAAATTGATGGAGGTAATGTTTTTTCCGGTTTTAGAGTTTAGGAAGAAAAAACAACAAATTTTCAGTATGACTTAATATTTTTTATTTATATTAGAGAGAGATATATAAAATTCTTGATATTTTTATCCTTTTAATATAATTATACAAAACACAACTAGATAATAAAATTATCGAAAAAGCCAGGTCGCTTTATAATTCCGACCATGGGCTAACCGCGACACTGCACAACTCTGCAGAACGAGAACGGCAGCCCAAAATGAAAGGAAACCCTCTAGCGCGACTGATTCGTCGAGGCACGCGACCCCCGTGCGCTGGGGCCCGTTTCATCTTTTCCAACATATAATCAGGATCGTTTATTATTAAGCCCGTGAACGTAAAAGAAAAATAATATTTTAACTTATAATCTACGAATACTTGCGAGCGAACGTGCTCAAATCAGGGGAACGCAACCCCACGTGATCCGCGGTCCGCCCGCCGCGCAAGCTGGGCCACGGGGTCGCGGGCGGGCACGCGCCGGTTCCGCGAGCGACCACCCCCGGGGCATCCGCGGAGCCTGCCCTGCCCTGCGCTGCGCTGCCCACCGCTCCTCAGCCTGCTCCGGCCTCAGCTAATACCGATGGGTGGTGGGAGCCGAGCCCTTTCCCTCTCCTCCCTCTGCGCCGCCGCCAAGCCCCCGCAGCACCCCTTCCCCTTCGCCCCGGCCCACCGCGCGCTCCCCCACCGCCTCGCCGCCGCCATGTCCTCCTCGTCCTCCCCGACCCCCGCCGCCCCCGCCGCATCGGGCGACGCCGGGGCCCCGGCCCCGGACCCTTCGGCGTCCAGCGCCATCGATTTCCTCACGCTCTGCTACCGCCTCAAGGTGAGCGCCGGCGCCCCCATTTAATCGCCTCGCATTTCCGCGGGCCGGCTTGGTTGGATGGAGATGTGACGGTGGATGGGGGTGTGGACGTGATTGCAGACGACCAAAAGGGCGGGCTGGGTGAAGCGCGGGGTGCAGGCCCCCGAGTCGGTGGCCGACCACATGTACCGGATGGGCGTCATGGCGCTCGTCGCGGCCGATCTACCCGGCGTCGACCGCGACAGGTGACCCTGACCGTTTGCTCTCCAGTCTCTAAGCTCGGCAGAATGTAACCTTCTTACGGTTCAGTTTTCATGCACTTGTTTATTTCTCCCTTCAATTACAGGTGTGTCAAGATGGCGATTGTGCACGACATTGCAGAAGGTATGGCCTCAAAAGACTTCGTCTAGATGGCTTCACTGATGTTTGGGTCTTTGCGTGTGTGAGACGAGGGATGTAAAATTGTGAATGTGCGAGCCTATTACTACCTGATACTATGTTGGTAGATGGTAACTAGACCACTGGCTACCTGTAGTAGAATGCCATGATTAGTTACTTGTTTGGCCTCTGCTGTAGGTCTAGTCAAAGTGTGAAACTTAAACTATGTGCAGATTCTCGTTGTCTCAGAAGCATGCTCAGCTTACAAAAAAGCAGTGAGAATGAACACATGATTATGCCTTCCATACATATGGACTCTTTGCTGTTCCTAAGCCAGCTAGCCTGTTGTTGGCACTAATTTCCTATGAGAATGCAGGTTCAGTTGACTCATTTCAACTTTTGCTTTTTGGTGCTCCAGCAATTGTTGGTGACATCACCCCTTCTGATGGTGTACCCAAGGAAGAGAAGAGCCGCAGGGAGAAAGAAGCACTGGACCATATGTGTGAGCTGCTTGGTGGAGGTTCAAGAGGTGAATACCAAAACTTGCAATTGTATTACATTAACATTTTATGCTGTAGGTAATTAGGCATCTTAGGCTGTTACCACTTACCACAAATTGTCTTTTCACGATATGTAATTATATGAAGCGAACGTGATGCTGTTGCAAACTGGCAACAGCATTCTAGATTACACAATAGTTTAGACTTACTGGTTCCAGTCTGTGTGCATAGTGCCATAGTTCCTAGAAAAAAAGAATAATATGCAGATATCAATGAATTTTGTTAATACAATACTGTAGTAGTTGCGGGTAGTATTACTCCAACTCTTATATTTATTTTACCTCGAAAAGTTATTCACCAGCTATTATTATTTCTTAGATGGTCATTTTGCCGATACTTTTCACTTCCATCAGGGAAGCAGATCAGGACCTGGAAATTATTTTTGTCCTATATTGAAGGGCTCTGCTACATAGAAATCTAATGGACAGCTTGTGTTCTCATTTTTTTGATACATAGTTTAGACCTTAGATAATTATTGAACAATTCTGAAAGCATTCACTCCCTTAGTTAGGTGTCAAGGAAACTCATGATAATTTGAAATCACTCTCAGACTCTTTTCAGAGAAACTGTTCTTTATACTTCTCTTCCTTTTATAAGGTGTATTAGGGTTTGAGAATTTCCTTCAAAGGTATGCTTTGTCCAATAATTTCCCATACAATATATGAATATATTATCAATTGCTACAAAACCAATGTCTCACTAAAAGGCATGTGAAATACAATCTATTGATGTATCTTTTATGCACAAATATACAAATATTTTGACTAGTTTGATTGAATTTTTGAATCCTAAGACGCTGGACATTTTGAAATGTTGGTTGTAAAGATAAGAAATGCTTATGTAGAAGCCAAAACTGAAGAGTTTGTCCTCTTATACATTGGTATACTGCCATTATTGTTCAGCAAATGTTGATGCCTATGATTTTTTGGAACATGATATTGTAATAAATGGTGATAATATTATTCCATCTCTAATAATTTTTCTACCTTGAAGTCTTATGGATCCTTTTATTATGCTCAAATGGCTATCATAGCATCCAACATTTTTGCCCTGAGAGTTCCACAACATAGAAATCCAGTGTTCTGCTTGTGTTCTCGTTATTCAAAACATTAATCGCTAAAAAAAATATTGGAGAGCGTCGGCATCCCTTACTTACATGTGAAGTGAACCTTTTATAGAACTCAAAAAAGTCAATCTCCGGCTCCAGCCTTTTGGAAACAGTTCTTCATGCAGGATAAAGGATGTTCTCCGTACAAGCCAGACTAAAGAGTTTCTATGGTCTGACACATTATTATATATAATAAATACTTGACTTTATCTGCATGCTGTTGTTTTGCAGCACAAGAAATTCGTGAACTTTGGATGGAGTATGAGGAAAATGCGTCTTTGGAAGCAAAGGTTGTCAAAGATTTTGACAAGGTACAGTTTTATATTTCAAACTTTCAATCCATCAAGTTGGTGGCATAATGACATCTGTCTGAAGCTATAAGATGGTAGTTCTTGTGATCATTCAACAGGCAATGCCATATAACTGGCAGGGTATTTAACTAGTGTAGGAAATCATTATGACCCTCACCTGTGGCTCCAACTTCTTCCTTTTCCTTTACATGCTGTAATCTCTTGTTTCTCTGTTATATTTCCAGATTGAGATGATACTTCAAGCTCTGGAGTATGAAAAGGGTGAGTTCATACTGGTGCTTGAATATTTGAACTATTGTTTTCCCATGCACAGTAGCTATAAAGTACAAACCACAACTATTAAAATGCATTCATCAAGTATTCTTCTTGTAATAACCAAATAAATGGATATAGTTAAAATCAGCTGACATTCCGAATATAGCACATCTTTTTATTTGCATCATTTGTGCTTACATAATTATTCAATTTGCTCACTGCCTTCTGGGTGTGAGAAGTAATACATATAATCCATATCCTATCATTTAATACCTGGTAAACTCCTTGTTGATCATGAGCTGGGGTTAACAGTATCACACTTACTCCTATGTATTTTAAAATTTTCAGAGCAAGGACGGGACCTTGAAGAATTCTTCCAATCAACAGCAGGTTTGATTTCTTTCTCTCTCTCTTTCTGTTATGTTCTTCTGAATTTCATGAGCATCTAGCACATAAAATTGAACAGTTCATCTAAGCTGGGCAGGCTGTTCGTCAATTTTTTCATTCTTACACTTGAAATATGTTTTCCTGAGATAATATAAACATTCATCAGAAATTGAGAACATATTTGTGCCTGAATGATTATTGTTAGTTGAAACTTGACACTACCATCCATGATGGTTTTCTTTTATCACGAACTGATACATGTCTATGCTTTTTATGGTTTTCTTTTATCATGTGCTTATGCTTGATCTCTTCAACTTCGCAATGTACTAATTTTTCCATAGTATTAGGCCATTAGAATGATTGTGTAACAAAAACCATATTTCCCTCAATTCCCATGCAGGGAAATTTCAGACAGACATGGGAAAAGCATGGGCAGCGGAGATTGCATCGAGAAGAAAAACAAAGTGATCAAATGACGCTCATTTTGGCACATCGGCTTCAAGTCAATCTGCTGGCACAGCATTTCTGTTGAACTTTGCTTTTACTAGATGATACTTCAAGGTGGCACTGAGACGTAGGCTTACCTTGCGAATGTGAACATCACCACATTTCTTGGCCCTGCCTTGACCCTAAGGCATATTGGGCCTGCGATACCTGGGCTCCAGATAACCCACTTGGGTAAGGAGTTATATTGGCTGTAGGTGCTCCTGTCAAGAGCAAATAGCTGGATCCAACGGGAAGGTTCAGCACCAGCTCGTGGTGATGTAAAATCCTTCACTTCTTGAATCACTGTACCATTACCGTTTCTCTTGTTAATCCAGCTTCATGGTTACAGCCTTTTTTAATTTAATTGTGCTATTGTTTTAAAGCATAATGGGCCTGAATATTTGCTATCCATTTTGGTTGTTGGTGATGACCTGAAAGTGCACTCATATTTACATAGTACAGTGGTGAAACCTACAGAGAGTGAGCTTATCTTGCAATGAGGTATACTGGCATGTTGGAAACTCGCTGTCCGGCACCCTGCCCTCCGCTGCTTCGCATGCCTCGTCGCTTGTTCAAAAGGCAGGCGCTGGTCCCTTATAGTTTTGGTATAGTGCCAAAACCACTTGAATTGCGTGTATACCAAAACCACTTGAATTGCGTGTATCCAAATTATGATTGCAACTTCCAATCGACATCTGAAAGGCTGACAGATACACGTTTGGCTCTCACTGATAACGGGGAAAAATATACGGTGCAAACCTAAACCTGATAACGACCCAATCCAATGGCCCTGCGACAACGAAATACTCGGCGAGAGCTATGGTTCACTCATGTTAATTCATTGAGATTGTTGCAGTGAATTGACATGATTGAACCGAGCTAAAGCAGCTTGGGAAATGGGAAGTCTGCTTGGCCAATATAGATTACCACTTTTTTTTTGGACCGCAACTTATTTTAAGATATTTGCGATCGCTTGTTTAGTACGACCTCCATTCCAAATTATAAATCAATCCAACTTTCTTGGAGAGTTAAAACATCTCAAATTTGACCAACATTATAAAGAGAATTACAAAGATTTATGACACCAAATAAATATACTATGAAAATATAATTAATGAAGATCTAATGATACTTAGGCCCTGTTCGGAGGAATTTGGAGAAATCTGGATGAATCTAGAGAAATTTGTGAGAGGATGAACAGTGTTTTTCAACCGGGAACAGTGAATTACGGCTGAAAAACTGACCAGCCGAACTGCCCCTTATTTGGAATCATAAATATTATTATTTTATTATATAAATTTGGTCAAACTTAAGATGTTTTGATTCTCCAAAAATTTGAAATGACTTATAATTTGGGATGGGGAGTAGCTTTCAGGCGTCAATGCAGTTTCTATCGTGATTCATGTAACGGATGGTGAAAGGCATGTTCCCAATCTCGTAGGAAATTGAACCGTTCTCAAGAAGAAAATGGAATTATAGTTCGCTTTCCCTCATTTTGCGTGTTCAAGGTGAAAACCTTAGAAAGTGAGACTTTGTATACTTCTTTCTCAAGTCGCAATAATTTGAGTACACTGGCATGGTGATAAAAATAAGAAAGTAAGACTTTATTTTGTATATGGAATTTCATGGTTTACAGAAAGGAGAGGGAGTGCCTTAATTATTACTTCATCGGATTGAAAAAAAAATCCATTTATACATTGACAGCCCCGGTAAGATATGTGTGTATGTCCTATGTCTTATATAAGTTGACTTATAGGTCATAGGTAAGGGTAACACTGCCTATGACCCATAAGTCAGTTTATATAAGCCATGATAAATAGACTAGACACTTTGATTGGTAAATGGGAAGAAATTATATGATATGAAAATATTTTTCATAATGGTTAGTAATGTCAATCTACATAAAAGCGGGAATTCCACCAACGGTCCTAAACTTGTCCTAAGTTTTCAGGTAAGTCCAAACTGATCTATACCAACCTCCAAGTGCTTATGTGGCATGTCACCACGACACCCCTCATGGAAATCTCAACTCTAGCATATATGATTGGTTAGAGAAGATGCCTTAATACTTGGCTCGGCAACATTTTTCAATTAATTATGTTCGAAGATATGTCATTCTACTAAATATTTATGAATTATTGAGCATCCGTATATATGATTTATATACTAGATATCTTGTACAGATGTTGCTCACACGATCATCAAGCCACGGGAACACCTTAATTGGTGGCACAACTGCTATGGAATGGTTTGGACTTTTGGCCTATCTGGAAACAGGAAAAAGTTTGAGGTCCAGGATATATAATTTGAGAGTTTGAAGATCTAGATGTGAACATGAGATAAGTTTAGGGACGACACTAACAATGATACTCATTCTATATATAAAATTTTACATCCATAGTCAAATGTACTCCCTTCGTTCCAAATTATAAATCGTTTTGGTGGAAGCGCGTTGTCTGTATGTTTAAACTCTTCTACTTAATACAATGATACATAAATCTTTTGCGTATTCGAGAAAAAAAAATATAAATCGTTTTGGTTTTTTTAGGTACATAGCTTTTGCTAGCATAGTATCAAGATGTATAACAAAAATTGTGTATCTAGAAAAGCCAAAATGACTTATATTTGGAAGAGGAGTAATTACGTAAATAAATACAAAGCAAACAAAGACGTTGACGTAGTTTCAATCGGGCATTCGCCACCAGCTTTGCAGTTTAGGGAAAAAAAACGTAGGGCTTGAAAGCCTTTAGCAAGTAAACCCTTTTCGCCTTCCCCTGCTTCCGTTCACTTCTCCTACAGAATTTTCTTCTGTTTCATTCTGGCTGGACATTTCTGCCTCAATCCTTCCAATTTCACTTACTTTACCCCTGAACACACCTGTGCGCGGGGTGACTTTAAACAAATATAAAATGGACCTGTATTTTTGTGGAAGTTAAACAATCCACGCTTCGTGCTTGGCAAAAGTTGGCATTGAGCCATTTGACCACATGCATGAGGCGGGTTTTATAATGGATTTTCCCAGATTTGATCTACACAAACCATCCTTTACTGAACAACATTGACACTGATGTCAGGCCAAGCTCCAAAATGGAAAGCCACTTGTAAGCTGTAATCGAGTTGTGTCCATTTCAGTGGCCCCATTTTCCTGCATGATACCCAACGATCAGACATCAGTAGGCATTTATAATTAGTTCTTGGAGGCGTCCACGTTATTCACAATCTTATTGTATGCTTTCTTTTCTTGGACAGCTATCTACATAAAGTTTTCTTAATAAAATGTCATTTTTCTTTGAAAACTCAACAAGGAATTTGCAGAGTAAATTATTAAGAGAGTTAAAACCATCAAGCACACGAACTGAGCGCAGCTTAGTTGGTTAGGTTCTTTACGATGAAATCTGCATTCTAGGTTTAGTTACCATTCTTTAGATTTATTGTACCATTGAACAACATTATTTTTTAGTGGTAAGCTATGTGTTTGGAGAGAACGTTCGGTTTTGCTGTCCATTTTTTTTTTCAACAATTCAGTTCTCGAACCTAAGCCAACACCCAACATATTTTTACACAAATTCTCGTTCGCTAGTGAAAAGATCGTCATTTCTTTCACGCCACAGTTTCTTTGTCACTCTATATGATTCACATCCAACGTCGACATTTTTGTAGATGTCGGAATTGCGCAGGACAAAACCAAGACATCATTATTAGTACTGGACAAATACAACGATACGATCTTCTTGCAAGTCAAGACCGAGCTATCGTGGCCACATTATTATGCACGAGATGTTTGAGTTTACTGAAGGTTAGCTCGAGTGGTTCCGTCCCCGTCGTGGGAAGGTTCCGGCCAAGAGTTCGACTAACGGCTGCCACAGGCACAGCTGCGGTAATGCATAGTTTGTGCAGAAAAAAATCTTCTCGCTTGTCCCGTGTCCCAAAGCACAGATAAAATAGTTCCGGCCCACTCACAGGGTTACGGGCCCTTGTGTGAGAGCGGGGCATGTGGGTTCGAGGGTTTTCTCAACCTGCGTGAGAGGTCTTTTTCCTAGCGTAAAAACTGCGGGGCTATCTGCCCACCGCAGGCCAATTTTTTTATATGTATATCTATCAGATCATGTTTGAGTTTACTATATGTATATCTATCAGATCACGAGAAACTGAAATTAAGTTTAATCCACAATGCATCTCACGTTTGGCTTCCCAAATTACTGTCGTTGTTGCTGCTGCTTATCAGCCTGTTCGTTTGGCGGTGGCTTGTCGTAAACGATCATAAATTTCTAGCCGGAACAGTATTTTCTCTCACACAAACCAGCCAGCAGTACTTCTTCACGAATCAGCAACGAAATGAACCAGCCAACCGAACCGGCTGTGTGTGCAGGCCAACTTTCCATGGAAGGAAACGAGAGGAAGAACAAAGGCCATGTTCGCTTCGCTAAAAAGTCAGGCTGAAAAATACTGTTCATTGATTTATTGTGAGAGAAAAATATTGTAACATATAACTGATAAGCCATGCTGATAACTTCAAGCGAACAGGGAAATCTCACCACAAATTAACGGGTACTGCCATACTGGGACCTGTTTGGTATGATTTATAAGTTGCTTACAGACAAGCTGAGATAAAAAACGAAAATGTATGGGCCTGTTTGGCCGCAAGGATTGCTTATTTGTAGCATTAGCCGCTGTAATTTCTCTCTACTGGCACTGTAGCAGCCGTTGTTTTTTTCTGTAAAAATGTTCCAGCTAACTGTAGTGGTGCATTATATACGCGGTAAATTCCTGACCCAGCAGGCAGCAGGTCACGGAAAAAAAAGACGACTTTTTGTCCGGTTCACCTGACTTCACCGGCCGTTAGTACAACAAGTACAGTGTACAGTCACACACATCGTGAACAGTATCATATGATCGCAGTACCGAAACTGCAAGCCTCGTAACTCGTAAGTACTGCATCAATCATGCAGCGACAAGGCACGTAGTAGTACCAGCTGCAACGCCAACTACTAGTTGATGCTGGCGCGGCAGGCCAGCTGGATCGTCGGAGCTGCGACGGTGAAGCAGCTGTCGGCGACGGCGACGGCGAGCCCAGCCACCTCCGGCGCCGCCGTCGCGTTGGGCCGGCCGCCGCAGTCGTCTATTGCTCTGCCTCCTCCCCTGAGGAAGCCCTTGCAGAGCGCCGTCCAGAACGCGCGGTCCGGCCCGCCGGTCTCCGCCGCCGTCCGCCGCGCCTCCTCGCCGACGCTCCTCTGGATGTCGTTCTGGTCGGTAAGGCGGTCGATGAGGTTGTGGAGGATGTCGACGGTGTACTCCGGGTGGCCCTGGATGCCCAGCGCGTGCTCCCCGACCGCGAACGCCTCCACGCGCGTCTTCTCCGAGTAGGCCAGCACCGTCGCCGTCGGCGGGATCTCCCACACCTGCGCGATCACCATCCATACACGTCACGCCATGTCGCCATGTATGAGAGCACCACTGGAGGTGGCACTGACAGTGCATGCAAGTCCACTGCTTTGTTGGTTGCGACTTGCGATTGTTTGCGACTCATCCATCAGCAGGAGCGGCAAAAATCTGGCTTATCAGCCGAATGTGGCATGCGTGCACTGATGCATCCACGGCCTACGTACAAGGACCACACGTATCGCGCAATACAAAATATCAACACGCACCTCGTCCTGGTGAACCTCGATGATGGAGGCGCTCCGGGGAAGGTCGTCGACGTCGAGGAACGACAGCAGTCCGGCCAGGTCCTGGCCCTGCACGAAGGTGACCTTCCTGACGCCGACGTCCCATCCACTCCTCGCCCTGCCGACCCTCCCGCCCAGCGCGCGGCACAGCACCTGGTGGCCGAAGCAGACGCCGAGCACGCGCTTCCGCATGGCGTGGAGCGTCCGCAGCAGCGCGCAGAGGCGCCGGACCCAGGGCTCGTCGCCGTGCGCGTCCCGCGGGCTCCCGCTCACCACGAACCCGTCGTACGACGCCAGGTCCTCCGCCGCCGGGAACTCGCCGCCGATCACGCGGAAGCAGTCCCACCTCTCCCCCTCCTCGCCGCCGCCGCCGAGCGCGGCCACGAAGACGTTGTGGTACCCGCCGTACGCCTTCCTCGCGTAGTCCGAGTCCCACAGCGCCAGCAGCAGCGCGTACCGCCGCGCTGCTGGCTTCGCCGCCGCCGCCATCATCGCCGGATCGGGGACCACGCGGGGGCTCGAGCGCAGAGGAAGTGACAGCTAGCCACCTAGCTATAGAATACAAGCTTGAAGCTCCACTAGACACTAGTGTAGTGTAGTGTAAGTGTAACACACCGAGCTTTGCGAGCTCGACCGATGGAATCGATGGCGATGCAGAGCCAGCGAGAATTCCGGCTCCTATTTATGGAGCCGGCCGGCCGGGGTGCGCGTAGGAGCCGGTCTGGGGTCACAGTCCGTTGTGAAACACGTGGCTTTTAATCAACTAATCGAGCTCCTCGCCGAAGTGGAAGTGGAGATCCACCGGCCCGTTGCCCCGGCACGAAACATGTATCTTTTTTTTAGTAATTGCTAGTGGTGTAACCTCCCAAAATTATTATTATGCATGCATATGGCTAGTAGGAGCTGAGGGGCCTTGTCAGCTCGGCAGTAGGAGTAGGGTCTCAGCAATCAAGCTGCTGAGTCACATACTCACATGGCATGGTGTCGGCAGATTAAACAACAAAGAGACCAGTGAAAACGAACTTGGCCAGTTGGCACTTGCCAGCGCTTTGCAATAGCCCTCTGTCTAAGTGTTGATCATAGTTGCTAAAAAATCACGATTCTGTAGTGTGATTTTAAGATCTTAGTTTATTGGGTTAATTCTATGATTCTATTAAGTATACGATTTTACTATTCTAGTAGCTACGGCTGCGCTCGTTGCAGCTACTGTTGTAACTATTTCTACTGCTGCTGCTATAATAACTTGTGAGAGTAATTTTCCAACTCCTGTAGCATGTAGGGTTCGAAATTTTGACTTTCACCGATTTTCGGTAAATAAACATACTAGTCATTTTGGTTCCATCTTATTAGTTTTCAAATTTTTGCTAAAACTTCACAAATATTTAATACTCGCAGTTGATTTCGCTCTTATTGTCCCCCTTCAATATTTATGTCTTAGCGGCAGGTAGACTAAACCTAGCAGTAGCCAACAACAATCACACCCGATTACATTGTATGATCCTACGATTTATGATGTTAGTATTATTGGATTCCCGATGTGATTCAAGAATCAAGACCATGATTTTAACAAGGAGGGGGCATATGACCCTTTTACAAATAGATTATTTGGTCATGTTAGACACAGCTCTAGGTCTAAGATTATTTGAAGTTCCTTATCCCTGGCTCTAGGTCTTGGAGCTGGAACTCAGGGCTTAACTATATATGTGTAATCCATTTATGGAAGAACTGAATAGAGAGACTAGGGAGAACTAGAGTCGTCGACATCGAAGGGCAGGTGCGAGGTGGGCGACCGAACAGGCCCCAAGAGCATGGCCCCCACCTCGCATCCCTCAGCCCAGTACTACTCCGGTTGCCCAGCAATTTAGATTTCTGAACGTCAAATGGCAGAAAGACAAACCTCAGCTCGGCGGCAGCACCAGCACTAGCACGCGTCCCCTCCACTCCCGTCCTCTTGTCTTCGACTCTTCCGCCTTGTTTAGATTGCAAAAAAAAGTGAACCCGATGAATAGTGTCATTTTCGTCTTATTTGGTAAATATTGTCCAATCGTGGACCAACTAGGCTTAAAAGATTCATCTCGTGATTTTCAACTAAACTGTGTAATTAGTTTTTTTTTTTACCTACATTTAATACTCCATGCAAACGGCTAAAAATTGATGTAATGGAAAGAGAATGAAAAAAATTGGAATTTGGATGGTATCTAAACAAGGCCTTCATCTTCATCTCGCGTCGTCGCCATCAACGCAAACTCGGCAATCAGCAGTAAGAAACGCACGCGCCCAGAGCTGCACGGCCGCAATGCTGCAGGTGTGGCAGGCCGCAAGCCTGCAACGGCAATGGCCAACAGGGACCAGAGGGACGCACAAGGAAGGTAGACACTCAGGCAGGACCTCAGGTGATTCCCAGTTTGATTAACTGAATGAATTTTGATAGTCTAAAATTATATATTGGCAAATTGCGATGTAGATGTACCTATATAAATCATTTTTATGAATTTGTAAACATGGATACGTTTATTTCCTTGATCCTCATCAATCAGCACTTGAAAATGATGCCTTTGAAACGATTAATTATGAAGATATAAATGAAGATTCATTTCAAGAAATACTAGACAGATGATGCTTTTTTGTAGAACTTGAGGTCAGTAATACCTTTTCTATTTTAGAGTTAATTTTTGATATATTCTGCATATTGTATGAAATAATACGTTTTTAAGTTATCTATTTGATGAGTAAAAATATGCATTAATTTTTCTAGCCATTCATTAAAAAAGATCTAGGGCCCCAATTTACATTTTGAACCGGAGTCCTGAATTTCTGGAGACGGCCCTGAGGAGAACAATTACCACTACTGCACATGTAGATTGCTCTGTGATCGCAATGGCAAAAGCAAGGTGAATACAATACAACTATATAATATACGTTAATTTGATTAAAACTTTAGTGACATTTAGAGAACAGACAACATTTTCATTGATGGAGATCATATATATAGAAGTCAATTTGCAATGGGCATGTTCGCTGGTTGGTGCTAGTGCTGGTTTGTGCTAGCTGATGCTAGTTTTTTGTGAGAGAAAAACACTGTTGACTGGCTGGTTTGGGTTGGCTGAAACCAACAAGCGAACAGGGAGTAACCGAAGATTTGGGTAAAAAAAGTGTACGTACTAACGAATCTAGGCACACAAATGGGTGAGCAAACAAGGTAGTTTCTAGCTAGTACAAGTACATCACCAATAATGCAGAGGAGAACTAGAGTACATTTTTTGGTCAACAGGAAATCGAACTGAGTACAGTGTGCAATCCTGCAGCAAATAGCTACTAACGATTTTCTGCCTACGACTTAACGTGCACCCAGCCCTAGCCAAACTAGTTGCTGCGAGCCAACTGGATCATTGCAGCTGCGCTGGTGAAGCCGCAGCCAGCGACGGCGCAGCTGGTCACCTCCGGCGCCGCCGTCTCCCGCACCGGCGGAGCAGGCTGCGGACGATCTCCTCTTCCCCCTCCGAGAAAACCCTTGCAGAGCGCCGTCCAGAACGCGCGGTCCGGCCCGCCGGTCTCCGCGACCGTTCGCCGCGCCTCCTCGCCGACGCTCCTCCGGATGTCGTTCTGCCTGGTGAGGCGGTCGATGAGGTTGTGGAGGATGTCGACGGTGTACTCCGGGTGTCCCTGGATGCCCAGCGCGTGCTCCCCGACGGCGAACACCTCCACGCGCGTCTTCTCCGAGTAGGCGAGCACCGTCGCTGTCGGCGGGATCTCCCATACCTCGTCCTGGTGAACCTCAATGAGGGCGGCGCTCCGTGGGAGGTCGTCCTCGACGAGATCCCCGAGGAACTCGAGGCGGCGGCCCTCCAGGAGGTCCGGCGCGAACGTCACCTTCCTCACCCCGACGTCCCAGCCGTTCCGAGCCCTGCCGACCCTTCCGCCCAGCGCTCGGCACAGCACCTGGTGCCCGAAGCAGATGCCGAGCACCCGCTTCCTCATGGCGTGCACGGTCTGGACGAGCGCGCAGAGGCGCCGGACCCAGGGCTCGTCGCCGTGCGCGTCCCGCGGGCTGCCGCTCACCACGAACCCGTCGTACGACGCCAGTTCCTCCGGCGCCGGGAACTCGCCGGCGATCACGCAGAAGCAGTCCCACCTCTCGTCGGTGCCACCGCTGGCGTCGCCGAACGCGGCGACGAAGACGTTGTAGTACCCGCCGTACACCTCCTTGGCGTACTCCGAGTCCCATAGCGCTAGCAGTAGCGCGTAGCGCCTCCCGCCGCGCCCCGCCGCCGGCTTAGCCATCGCCGGATGAGCAAACTAACAGAAGATAGCTATACAGCCGATCGGAGACGAAGCTCAGCTGACCAGCTAGCTAGCTAGTTGTACGAGCTTGTGAGCGTAGTGCACTGAGCCACTGACACTGATCAGCTGTGTGCGTGCTTTGCAAACTTGCAATGATCTGCAAGCAATTCGGAGCTCGTATTTAAGCTGCGATGCGTGTAGCCGCGTAGGCGTGTTGCTGCAGCTCGATGGAGTCGCGATCGCTTGTGGAACACATGCATGGCTTTGATATAAACTAATGATCGATACGCGTGCAAATTGCAGCGCAGAACGTGGCAGTGGGGGAAAGTGTTGGGATATATAGAAAATTAGAAATGGAATGCAGTTCACATAAACCGGCACATCCGCCGGCATTAATTCTCTCCAACACGGAAAGGCAGGAGAGCGGTAGCTACACGAGCATATTAGGCAAACTAAAAATTTCCTTCAGCATAAGCCCTCGTGCATATGACCATTAGATTTATGATGAGATTCGGGATTCGCACACTAGAGAATGATGAATAGAGATAATATTTCATATCTGTGTAAAAAATCTTTATATCGGTCCATCCGTGTCCCGACAGCATGTAAGAGTGAAAACAACAGGAAAAATAGTTTTTGGCAGTTTTTTTTATTTGTTCATTTACAATATGGGATTTTTTTTCAAACTAGACGTTTTTGTTTTCTATATTGTAATATCTCGTTTCCAATCGTTTTTTTTATCAGCTTTGTTTGTGGTCGTGTCATTATCCCTCTCTCGACAGCATGCACTCAATTTCATGATGACTAGAGGTTATAAATCACACATGATGGCTTCACGAGTTGGCGCACTGAGTATATATTAGGGAAGCTTTTTTTAAAAAAGAATAAAGTAGAAGAGCTGCCAATTATATTAAAAAGAAGCCTAAACTAGATAGTACAATGAATCAACAATAACCAAGAAGGTCCGAGCAACAACAACACAACTGAAACAAACTAACGACGAAAAACAGTTGGAATGGGACCTTAACACTCGTCGAAAAAACGTCAGATATACAACACTCACCCCACCATTAACATGTCCCTCCACAAGCTATGACAGAGTTGTCAAGCTGAAGAAACCCCAAAGTCACCACTTCCATCGTTGACCCCGATGTTGTCTCGTTCCAAGCAGGACATGCAGGACTAGTCACCGTATTCCACTGCAAGTCGTGTAACGCATTACAGGATTCTGGTTCTTTGCCGAGAGTGCAGGCCGCACTCGGCAAAGCCCGTTTTACACTCGGCAAAGGCTTTGCCGAGTGCCGCACTCGGCAAAGAGCACTCGGCAAAGAATTCTTTGCCGAGTGTCACCTGTCGGGCACTCGGCAAAGCCTTTGCCGAGTGCCATATCAGCACTCGGCAAAGTTAACGTCCACCGTCATCTACCGGTTTCTTTGCCGAGTGCTGACGTGGCAAGCACTCGGCAAAGAGTTTTTAATTTTTTTTAAAAAAAAATAATATTTGCCGAGTGCCACTCTGACAGGCACTCGGCAAAGTAATTTTTTTTTGAAACAATCTTTGCCGAGTGCTGACACTCGGCAAACTTATGGTCACTTTGTCAAGTACCGTGTCAGCACTCGGCAAAGCTGTTGTGCTAGGAAAAACTTCCCCAGCTTTGCCGAGTGTTTGCACTCGGCAAATCTGGGTAATTTTTTTTTTCAGTTTTTTTCACATTCCATCCATGCAATATCACATATATTCAACACAAATCCATACAATATCACATATATATCACATTACATCCATACAATTCAACACAAATCCATCCACAAGTTCATCCGTAACAAATCCATCCATCCATCCATCACAAGTACATCCATACAAATCCATCACTAGTCCAACATAAGTCCAACATAACCCTCACAGAAGCCAATCCATCACTAGTCCAACATAACCATCACAAGTCCAAAAGCGAAATGAGAGGTACCTCTCAAGTCCCTTGGTCCCCATGGCCCCCAGTGTGAAGAGCTCCCAGATGGCCACGAAGGCCACCCTTGCTGCGAGGGCCACCACCTGAACGTCCACAGGCGGCGGAAGATGGCCACTGTCCACCCGGAGTACCGTGCTGCGCGTGAGACGGAGGAACGCCACCAGCCACGTGTCTTTGTGGAGTCGGGCCAACCGTGCCAACCGCCACCCGTCTTTGTGGAGAAGGGCCACTGGAGGAGTCGGGTTCGAACCACGCGTATGTGTGCTGCACAAAGGAGAAGCGATCTCATTAGTACGTGCAGGATGGCCGCACAAGCTAAAGCAATAAACAACCATATATACTCACCGGAGTCCCTGTAGGACTAGGAGGAGGGGGTGGAGCGAACAGCGAGGGAGGCAACGGAGGCATGACCAAACCCGGGATCTGAAGGCCCTGAAAGTAGGTCGCCACGTCCTGCAGCTGACGTGCCGAAAGTCTTCTTTGGACAGCCCTCCGATTGACACGCCGATCTGCTGGGCCGGATGACCTCCACCGCCACCGATGGGCCTCACTTTGGGCCATCTCTTTGGGCCTACAACTCTGCCATCTGGGCCTGCAATATTACACCCGCAAGGTTTAAAAAATGCAAAGGCCAGGTACATGTGTAAAACCAATGAACGACGAATAAAACTGTACTTACCTAAAATGTCGCCATCATCTGCGTGGAGCTCGGCTGCCGAGGTGCTATGGGGATGTCGGAGGAGCTCGTGCTGGTTTGTCGAATCTGGCTCAGTCTGGGAACAGAGGACGACTCGATTGCGTTGTTGGCCATCCAGTACCGGCCGTGCTGCTTCCCTCCTCCCAACCTCATCACGAGGTCCGTATCCAGGGGCTGGGTGACCGGATCGAAGTCCTCCCCATGGCGTGTGCGAGCCGCCGAGGTGTACTCAGCAAGCTTGGGGTAGACGCTCGCGTTGGTGTATGCGTCGGCCCCATCCTCCGGGTTGTAGACGTTGTCCGCCACTGTCGCTGGGCCCTTGTGAGCCAGGGCGTACCCCATGAACTCGTTGATTTCCTGGCCACCATGCGACTGGGACTGCGAGGAAAACACAAAGATGATTACAAGTAATGACAATTGAGCGCTAGAATAAATAAATAAATAGATCAACAGAAGCGTACCCATCTTTCCATGTAGACTGGGAGGGGTCGGTTCCCTTGGTGGTGTGACGGCCCTTGCATCTCCAGGCGGCACCTCCGACGGCTTCTGCGCTTAGTGTACGTGTCCTCCGAGACCCACTTGTTCACGATGTCCACCCAGCAGTCTTTGTACTTGGAGTACCAAGCAGGACACATCTGCATGACATCAAGTATTTGACATGTCAGAAGATGAATTGAAGCCTACTTATTTTTCATGGAAGAAATCAGAATGAATGTTTCCTACTTACCTGGAGGTACTGCTCCCTGGTGAGGTCGGTCTCCCTCTAGAGCATCATCTGCCTGGCTTCCCTCTTCCTCACCACCCGACCAAGCACGTCGGCGTTGTAGGTGATGATGCACTGGATACGCCCCTCGTGGTATAGGTCCTTGAGTCACTCTCTGCAGACCTTGTCCTACACTCGCGCCGCCTCGGCCTGTTTCCCATCCTCGCACGTGAAGTAGTCCTGCATACAGACATCATGTATCATTTCATTATTTCAAGAACGTCCAACGAATGTGTAGTACTGAGCAATGCGGTGCGATGAAGACTCACCCAGAACTCCCTCTTGATCCTCGTCGCAAGGGTGCCGTGGTCGGGGTCCACGACGCTGGCGAAGTGCTCCCACGACCAGGGCGGCCCTATCACCCCGGCGTGGGTGACCCTGCCAGGGTAGTGCTTCCGAAGCAGGAGGCTCTGGATGCCATTGACATGGCGTGCATTGCCCCCTCCGCTCACAATCGTCTAGTTACTACACCAGTCATTAAGAAGAATTGTTAGTCTGAAGTACGATTTTCAACATGTCATATGAACAAGTAGTGAAAACATCAATGGTTACTTACTTGTCACCGCAGGGTTAAATCACCGGGCGGCGGGAAGGCGCGAGCGGCGCTGAAGGGAGGGACGAGGGCCCACGCGGGTAGACCTTGCTCGAACCTGAGGAAGGCGTCTCCCCTGGTGTCGCCTCGCCCCTGTGGTCCGAGTCCGACAAGGAAGAGGAACTGCCGGTCGTCGTCGTCGTCACCCCCTGTTGGGCGTCGGGTTGGGAGGCAACTCCAACCTCCTCATCGCCGAGCGACGTCCGCGGGGCCTCCTCTCCCTGCTCGTCGATGGCTCCACCGACGGTGGCTCCTCGTCGGCGGTGGGTGAGCGATCCCTCTGGTAGACCGAGGTGATCCCCTGTCGTTGCTGCCGCCTTCCGCCCGGCATTTTTTCGAGTGCCTGCAATGACAAAGATTAAACCCTTGTTCACAAATAAACAAGAAGTACTTGTAAAGAGATGCAAAATGAACGAAACATAATTGCAAGGTAATAATAATAACAATATATTATTACATGAATTAGAAATTATCTCCACGAACGGCAGTGACTGGCGTGTCGTCATCATGGCATCGAAGCCGTCTCGACTCAGGCTCAATTGCGACTTCAACGCTATTAGGCGTGAAATGGCATCCAGTTGCGAAACCATTGTCTTCTCGTGAAGGGGCTTCTATGCCGAATCCAGCATGGCTAAGAACGCCTTTGCGGTTTCCTCTGGATCCTCCTCCTCCTCCAATCCTTCAACGAACCGTGCATCGTGAAAGTCTGCCATCATGTCTGCCATCCCCGCATCTCCATCATACTCCTCGAGGCGTGGTCTCACCACCTCCTCTCTAATACGATCGCCTTCACCATGGTAGATCCAGCGGGTATAGTTTGCAATGAATCCGTGCTTGTAAAGATCTCTCACCACCTGACTCTTTCGTTTTCCTTTCGTGTTCTTACATTTGCTGTAGGGACACGGTATCCGACTCGACCCTTTAGCAGCCCTGCCAAATGCATGCTCCAGGAAATGACCGGTCCCCTTAACCCATTCAT